GGGGGGGGGGGTAAGTTAGAATATTAGAATTAAAAGAATCAAAACAAATAAATAAATAAATAATAACTTTAACTAAAGTGGCGGGCGGAGCAACGTGTGCGGTATGATCGTGGTCCGAGCGCAGCCGCGCACGTAAGGCAGAATGTTTGGCATTTTTCGCGATCTGAGCACGACCGCGTACGAGGAGGCAAACCTAACATGGTGGACTTGTGGGCGCCAAAAATTTTCAGAAAATCCTTCAGGTATGGTGGACTTGTACTCGCCCAAGCTCACATGCACTTGTTAGTACTTACAAAAATAAAATTAATAAATTCTACCTACTCTAAAAATCACTATGCATTGGGTTGCCTCCCAACAAGCGCCTTAGTTAATGTCGTGGTACGACGAATACAAAAGATCAATGGGTTGCCTCCCTTGAAGCGCCTGCTTTAATGTCGCGGCACGATACAGATAAGTGTATGTAAAGTATGCTCAACTTTGGAGGATCGATTAAATGGGTCGCTGACACTTCCTTTGCTTCCTCCATGCCCACATAATGTTTCAACCTATGCCCATTGACTTTAAATGTGCGAGAGTCATTACTTGCAACAATCTTTACAGCACCTGTGGGGTGAATTTCAACCACACGAAAAGGCTCTGACCATCGTGATTTCAATTTGCCAGGGAACAACCTCAGGCTGGAGTTGTATAGCAACACTGTATCTCCACATTTAAAATTCCGCTCAATAATATTCCTATCATGTATCATCTTCATTCTCTCCTTGTATAATCTTGTGCTCTCAAAAGCGTGATATTTAAACTCATCAAGCTCGTGTAATTCCGTTACTCTACTTGTTCCTGCCACTTCACTATCAAGATTCAATTGCCTCAATGCCCACCAAGCTTGATGCTACAACTCTACGTGTAAATGACATGACTTTCCAAATACCAACTTGTATGGCGACATTCCAATTGGAGTTTTAAAATCGGTTCGATACGCCCAAAGTGCATCATCTAATTTTCTTGCCCAATCTGTTCTACTTACATTCACAGTTTTAGTCAGTACACTATTTATTTCTCTATTCGAGACTTCCACTTGCCATCTTGTTTGTGGATGATATGGGGTGGCCACCTTGTGGCGTACATCATACTTCTCCAACAACTTTGTAAAGGCTCGATTGCAAAAGTGAGTGCCTCCATCACTGATTATTGCCCTTGGGGTGCCAAATTGGGTGAAAATGTTCTTTCTCATAAAACCAATTACCCTCTTTGCATCTGTTGTAGGGAGTGATGCAAATTCCACCCATTTGGACACGTGGTCCAAAGCGACAAGTATGTACTTGTTGCCATATGAGCTGACGAACGCCCCCATGAAATCGATCTCCATACATCAAGCACTTCTACTCCTGAATTGGGTTCATAGGCATCTCATGTCTGCGGGAAATATTTCCGGTTCGTTGGCATTCATCACAACCCTTTATCTATAGATGTGCATCTTTGAACAGTGTTGGCCAGTAGAATCCCGACTCCAAGACTTTCGCAGCCGTCCTTACTCCCCCGAAGTGCCCACCATATGGTGATGCATGACATGCCTGCAAAATAGAAGACTGGTCTATCTTGGGGATACATCTCCGGATCATGTTATCAACACAAATCCTGAACAGATAAGGCTCATCCCAATAATACATGCGACAATCAAGAAAGAATTTTTTCTTTTGAACAGAGGAAAGGTCATAAGAAACAATACCATTCGCCAGGTAGTTTGTAATGTCTGCATACCATAGCTCTTCCTCGAGACTCATGGTTAGTATTTGTTCATCTGGAAAAGTTTCCAGAATCTCTTCTACTCAACCTTCTTTTCTACTCCTTCCAGTCTGGATAAATGGTTAGCTACTTGGTTCTCCGTTCCCGATCCCCAAATCAAACTCTTGCAGCAGTAACACCCAATGTTTTAGGCATGGTTTTGACTCCTTCTTTTTAATTAAGTACCCGAGAGAAGCATGGTTAGTATAAACAATTACCTTTGAGCCTATTAGGTAAGAACTAAACTTGTCAAATGCGAACACCACTGCCAGCATCTCCTTCTCGATCATAGTGTAATTTAGCTGGGCTCCACTCAATGTTCTACTTGTGTAGTATATTTGATGCATGATTTTATCTTTTTACTGTCCAAGAACTGCTCCCACAATATAGTCACTAGCATCACACATCAGCTCAAATGGTTGCTCCCAGTTGGGGGCAACTATGATAGGTGATGTTACCAGTCTCTTTGTTAATTCCACAAAAGCTACCTTGCAGTCATCAGAAAACACAAAAGGGTGATATTTTTCAAGAAATTTACACAAGGGGTTAGAAATTTTGGAAAAATCTTTTATAAATCTCCTATAGAAATCGGCATGCCCAAGAAAAATTCTGATTTCTTTGACGGAGGTGGGTGGTGGAAGCTTTTCTATCACATCAACTTTTGCACGATCCATATCAATACCTTTACTTGACACTAGGTGTCCCTAGACTATACCTTCCTGTACCATGAAATGACACTTTTCCCAGTTGAGTACCAGATTAGTCTCGATACACCTTTTCAAAACTCACCTCAAGTTCACAAGGAAATCATCGAATGAATTTCCCACTACTGAGAAGTTATCCATGAAAATGTCCATTATCTCCTCTACCATATCTGTGAAGATAGACATCATGCACCTTTGGAATGTGGCTGTGCGTTGCATAGGCCAAAGGGCATTCATCGAAAAGCATAGATTCCATAAGGGCAGGTGAACGACATTTTCTCTCTATCCTCTAGGGCAATGGAAATCTGATTATACCCCGAGTACCCATCCAGGAAGCAAAAATGAGACCTCCCTGCCAATCTATCTAGCATCTGATCTATGAATGTAGTAGGAAATGGTCCTTCCTAGTAGCCAAGTTTAACTTCCTGTAATCCATATAGATTTGCCAACCTGTGACTGTCCGTGTAGAGATCAACTCGTTCTTCTTATTTTTCATTGTCGTTATACCTACCTTTTACGGTACACACTGCACTGGGCTAACCCAATTGTTGTCAGAGATGGGGAATCTGATTCTCGTATCTAACCACTTAATCACTTCCTTTTTCACCATTTCTTTCATGTTGGGGTTCAACCTTCTTTGATGTTCCCTGGAAGGTTTATGCCCATCTTCTAGCAGAATCTTATGCATATAGTAGGCCGGGTTGAACCCCTTAATGTCTGCAATGGTCCACCTAATTACAGTCTTGCACTCAGTTAGTACCTGCAAAAGTTGTTGTGCCTGCACATCTAACAAACTAGCTGAGATAATAACATGTAAAGTTGAATCAGGTCCTAAGAATGCATACCTGAGATGGGATGGCAGTGGCTTCAGTTCCAACTTTGGTGGCTCTTCTATTCACTGCTTAGCTGGAGGAGTTTTTCTTTCCTCCAAGTGCAAAGGCTCAAATTCAAGCTCCCTTTTCCAAAAACCTTGACCTTCAAGAGCCAGTACCCACTCTGCCAAGTCTTCACTATTAGCTTCATCTAAGTTCATGAGACAAGCTGGTAGAGGGTCTTTAATGTTCAGTGCCTCATCGTCCTCCTCCAAAACTACATCCACCGCATTTATTAGAGAGCAATTAGCAAATTCGCTTGGTCTCCGCATAGATTTCTGCACATTGAATGTTATCTCTTCATCATGTAATTTCATCTTGAGCTCTCCAGTTTAAAAATCAATTAAAGCTCTCTCAGTGGACAAGAATGGTCTTCCCAAAATTATGGGAATTTCCTCGTCAACCCGACAGTCAAGGATGACAAAATCTGCTGGGAACACAAACTTCCCAACCTGCACCAATACATCATCTTGAATCCCAGAGGTCATCTTCACTATTCGGTCAGCCAACTGTAGCAGCATAGACGTGGGTCTAGCTCTTTCAATGCCTAGCCTTTTGTAGATAGCTAGGGGCATAAGGTTGATTCTTGCTCCTAGATCACATAGCTCCTTAGAAAAAGCAAAGTTGCCTATTGTGCAAGGGATTGTGAAACTCCCTGGATCAGATAGCCTTTCGGCTATGGGTCTCATCACAACAACACTGCAGGTTTGAGTCAGTGTAACCGTGTCCAAGTGTTGAAAGTCGAACTTGCGGGACATCAAGTCCTTCATCATCTTTGCATACCCATGCATTCTTTAAAGCATCAATCTATGAAATGTTTACTTGAATTTACTTTAACATCTCCAAAAATTTCTTGTACTGCTCATCTTTCTGATACTTGGCCAATCTCTGTGGGAATGGTGATGGAGGTCACTTCTTCCTTGTGATTTGGTTTTTCTCTTGTTCAGGCATTGCTTCTACTGTCAGTTCTGGTGCAGCCTCAGTCTCTTTCACAAATTCATCATCTTTGTTGGCATTCTTTTGCGCATTTTATACCTTAGTTAAACCTGCTGAATCATCTATTTTAATGGGTACTGGCACCAGTGTCTTAGTCGGCCTGCTTTTGCGAGCAATTTCTTGCTCCAGATCTAAGTCTCTACCATTTCAAGACTCACTACCATCAGTTGCTTCGGACCCTGCTCTTTTGGGTTGATTTGGGTGTCTGCAGGTAATGTCCCATGGGGACGATTATTTAAGGCCATGGAAATCTGTCCTAACTGGATCTCAATATTCTTAATCGCTGACTCATGTGAGTTTACTCTGTCAGCTAGTTTTCCAGTGGACCTAATCACTTGTTGCATCATCCCCTCAAGTTTAGCAAACACATCTTCATGCCTCATAATCTGCTGCTGTGGAGGTTGTTGGTAAGCCTGCTGCTGATTTTGCTGGTTGTACCCTTGTTGTTTTTGGTAGGGCACAATTTGCCCCTGTGGTCGCATAGCCCCATGATTATTGTTGTTATATTACTGTTGCTGAGCTGGTTTGTATTGTTGATTCTGCTGACCCCAACTCTGACCACCTGGTCTTGGTCCCCCGTAGTTGGCCGCATAATTCATGTTCTCCTGATATTGTTGATTATCACCTTCAGCACTCCATGAGCAGACATATGGTTAATTAATGCATAATGTACTTAGACCCTCATTGGTTGCATCAACTATGTGTACCTGCTTCTTCTGGCCTGATCCTTCAACCTTCTTGGTGAGGATGCTCATTTGTGTCATTAGAGTAGCCATATTTTCAGCTATGGAGTTAGTCGGGTCTATAGTTACTGAGTGGATCACAGAAGTGATTAGAGCGTTTCATGTTGTCCATCCTGAGTTTTGTGCCATCTTGTCAAGTAGAATCTTGCTCTCTCTGAATGTTTTGCTAAAAAATGCTCCACCTGCTGATGCATCAACATTGGCTTTCAAACTATCTTCCAAACCCATGTAAAATATCTGCCCCAACATCTACTCCGGAATACCATAATGTGGACACGTAACCAGTAGACCCTTGAATCTCTCCCACGTTTCATGTAGTGTCTCAGTTGGTTTCCATTTGAAGCTTAATAACTTATCAATTTGCTGAGCAGTCTTATTGGGTGGATGAAATTTGCTCAAATATTGCTTGACTAATTCCTCCCAAGTAGTGATGGAGTTGATGGGGAGTGAATTAAGCCAAGTCTGAGCTGCTCATGTCACTGAGAATGGAAACAACAACAAACGTATTGCTTCCGGTGTCACGTTGTGCTACCTCTGCGTGGCACAAATTGATAGGAATTTCTTTAGATGTTGCTGAGGATCTTCAACATATGACCCAGAGAATAGTCCCTTGTTCTACAACAGATGTAGCATGTTATTTGTGATCTGAAATGAATATGCTTGTATATGAGGGATTACAATGGCAGTTGCTAAGTTGTCAGTGGTGGGTTGTGCCCAATCATATAGTGCTGCTTCTAGCACAAGAGGTGCCACACCCTGATCATTTGGGTCATTCACGTCGTCTCTGTTGTTTAGATTATCGTTTTTCATGTCTGGTTCAATTTTTTTGGTTGAGTTCTGTTGTTGTTTGCCTCTCCTGTTTGCACGGTTCAATGCCTTGAACACCTTCTCAAGATCTGATAATGCTTTGAACAATTCACCAGTTCTTGAGGAGTTTCTAGGCATGCACCTGTAACAACCAAGACTACAAACGTTAGAATTTCAACGGTTAGTTTAAATTGAAGAAAATTGACTACACTAAGAATTCTTGCACTTTTTTTAACTGCAATCAATAACACCGTTAATTCCCCGGCAACAGTGCCAAAATTTGATCATGCCCAACTATACCTTATAAAAAAAACAAAGCGGTCGCTGCAAATATATTCCGGTTAACAAGTCCGGAGTCGAATCCCACAGGGAATTAACCTATCAATCACAGCTATTGGACTCACAAAAATTCACGTATTCAATCTTTAGAGATATTTGAGTAACAAATTGGGTGTTTATTAATAAAATATTATGTAATAAAAATACAGTAATTAAGAACTAGCTATAAACTGGTTGTAACCAAGAATGAAAATGGTCTAAGGTTCTGATTTTCACTCTTATCGGAATCCTTTCCGCTATGTTTGCTATAAATTTGCCTAAGTGTTCTCTATTGATCATGAGCACTCTGACTGTCGTACCTCTCTCCCAAGTAGTTACAACAACATACTAGACATATTCTCCCGAATTACGTTACTTGACCTTAGTTACAGCTCACTTAGATCGCACCCAAGATTTCGTTATCCCTAATCCTACCTTTAAACCCTTCGTATTGATCCCTCATATACGTTAGGGGTGGTGTTGTTCAACAACTACCTAAATATATACTCTCTCCCGAGTAATGCATACTAAATAGGCACAGCCGATTGAGGGCCCTTCAATCACAGTAATCACAATATAGTTGAACAAACAGAGAAAATATTAAGGCAAATCTATATTAACATATCAAGAAATTTATCCTCCAAGAGGTTCCATCAAAATCCTAGATTAAGAGTTTAGCTACGCATAATCGTTTTCATAATCATAACAGTAGAATTCATCATTAATGATCGAAACAAGAGGAAGAAAGGTAAAACTCAATGCCGAATCTTTTGTCTTGCCACTTCTTGCCTTCAACAATTCTTCAAAAACCTTGATACCTTCTTTTTGGGAGAGCTGGACTTCTTATAAGTTAAGGAGAGTTGCCCCCGAACTTACTAATTTACCCCTGAAATAAAGTTCCTCGGAGTGACAAGCGAGGCCGCGCTCGGACCGCCGTCAGACCGTGCATATTGCATTCTTTTCTGCCTGACGAGCGCGGCCTGAGCACGCCCGCGGTTGGCCTGCGCTCATGGAGCTCAACTGTCTTCCATTTTTTCCTTCTTCTTTCACGCGCACTCACCTCTGATTGGCCTTCCTTGCTCCAAATTAACTCCACACAATGTTTAATATCCACATAATCAGGACTTGCTCCCGTAAAACACAAAATTCATAATTAGAGTCATTTGTTGTCATTTAACCTTCATATAACAATAAAGTATAGCTAAGTTGGGGCATAAATGACCGCTAAACTACATGAATATAGCATATTATCATACCATCACATTAAATACTTTTAAAATATAGTATATAATTATCTAACATGACAAAATTAATCATTTGTGTAAGTTTTGATGATATTTTTTTATTTTAAATTCATGTATTATGCTAATATAGTAATATTTTTCGACATTTAGATAATTGTTGTATTATTATACGTAAAATTTCTCTTATAATTAAATTTTATTATCCCCATATCAATAAATATTTAAATCATTACGTATCATTATTAACGTGCAACACAAGTTCATAGATACTAGTACTATTAAATTTCCTGATCTAGTGAGTGCAAATAAGTTTTAAATTTTTCCCAAATTAATTACTAGGAGCTACTAGTCCTACAAAAGGAGAGATGTATGTGCCGAAAACAATGTAAAAGGAATAAAAGGACCAGCCTATCCATGCGTTTACGTTACGTGAGAACATTAATAATGTGGAACAAAAGGTTGGTCAACCCAACTAGCTAACCACTATCCCTAGTGCCATCCACCCTCACATCACATCTAACATATTTTCAACAACATTATGACTTCATAGTTTTAAATTCCTTTGTATATATACGTATTCATATTATCCTATCTTTTAAGGTTTTCTACATATTCTTCAAAATATTAATGTTTAATTGTTTTAAGTATAAGAGTATCCCAAGCGGACACAAAAATAGTAGTATGTGATTTTTTTCTATAAGTCCAAACCTTGATGGACAGAGTTATCCAATACTCTATTTGTGGGAGGTAACAAGTATCCCGTAAAATTAATCAAGGTGCGCATAAGTAGAGACAAACGTAGGATTCGGCGGTCGGGAGGGGGACACTATGACATCCAATATAAATTTATCACTGCTCATAAAGATTGATATATGAGGGCCTATGCTAATATTTGGCTATTTTTTTAAGACATATATAAGTATATATAAAGTTTTTGTCGAAGTTTCCGGGTGTCGATAACCCCTCAACCTATATTGTAGGTTCGTCTCTGCGCATAAGTTGATCGGACACCTCGATTACAAAAAAAATTATAGGAGATTTTGTCTAAATTACTCTTTTTAACATTTCATTAATCAGAGAAGTAAAATATATTTTTTTTAAATTATAATTTCTTATATAATTCAAAATAGAGGTTAAAGGGGTTCCTAGGGAGGTCCTATAGAGATGCCTAGAGGTTAAAGGGGTCCCGGTTGACTACATTAGGGTGATTAAATACATGTATGATGGAGCTAAGACTCCAGTTAGGACAGTAAGAGGCGACTCCGACCATTTTCCGGTTGTTACGGGGTTGCACCAAGGGTTTGCGTTCAGCCCTTTCCTATTTGCCCTGGTGATGGATGCCATAACGCATCATATTCAAGGGGGGGTGCCATGGTGCATGCTATTTGCTGATGACATAGTCCTAATTGACGAGACACGACGCGGCGTCAACGAGAGGCTAGAGGTTTGGAGACATGCCCTTGAGTCTAAAGGTTTCAGGCTGAGCAGGACGAAGACAGAATACCTCGAGTGCAAATTTGGGGCCGAGCCGACGGAAGCAGGAGTGGAAGTGAGGCTCGACTCTCAAGTCATCCCTAAGAGGGGTAGTTTCAAGTACCTGGGGTCAGTTATTCTGGGAACCGGGGAGATCGACGAGGATGTCACACATCGTATAGGGGTGGAGTAGATGAAGTGGAGGTTAGC